TTGCTCAGGCTGATCTCGAACTCCTGAGCTCAAACAATCCTCCTGCCTCCGCCTCCCAGAGTGCTAGGATTACAGGCGTGAGCCACTGTGCCCGGCCCATGCATGGATTTTGACATCTGTGGGGAGTCCTGGAACCAATCTGCCACAGATACCAAGGGATGACTGTGGTTGTGAATGATTAAGTGTCTGTGTTTTTCCCTATTGCCCTCTGAAACCAGATGTTCCTGTGATCAGTTCTGGGGTCTGTTAACATACAGAATGTGTTTCTTCTTATGGGTTAATAGTTACTAATGCTGCTGCCTGTTTACTTCCTGCTTTATTTAGGTTTCATGTTCTTAGCAAGCTACTGAGCTTCATGGCACCTATTGACCATACTGCAATGAATGATGATGCCAGGTGAGTAATAGATTAATTATATGTCTCAAATGGCTTTGTGACAGCCTGATATTGACCTGTTTTATAGCCTGTCACCCTCTCCATTTCTTCTTATCAGATAACCATTTGTCAGTGGCATCATAGCAAGGGTCACATCTCTTCACTCCCATAGTTACTATAAAACCAAATCAGAAAATTCTGTAAATCTCAGTGCTGCCTCATGGTTTGCTTTTGCTGTTTAGTTTTGTTTTTAACTTTAGCCCACCTGCCAAGGACATCCGAGCGTCCTCTCCATGATGGAGGATCAGGACGGCACATGTGCTTGCTGTATGTGTTTGGGGGTTTTGTGCATGTGCTTTTCTTTTTAAAGTGGCTTTAGAGATGTGTGCATGTTGTGTTTGTTGAGGATTATGAACATTTTTACCAAAGAAATGTGTGTTTATTTTATAAAGCTGAACAAGATAGAAATATTTACAGAAAAAGATATATGTTCATTATATTACAATTCAGAGATAACTATTTTTTAAGAATAATTTATACTTATTAATTGGCATTCTGTTTAATGAAGAGCTTTCCCTTCTCCCTCATTTATCATCTTTTATTCATTTATATCGATATAGACTCATGCTTTGCTGTTTTATTCAATGAGTTATATTTACTTTGATGTCAAAATTGTCCCCATTATTGAAGGTGCCTTTAAATGAGTATGTGCCCTTTTGAGTTGTCCCCAGTCATTCTTTGAGTACTTCCTTGCTAACACAACAAGGTGTTCGAGGCTCATCTTTATACCTTTTCTGTTCCAGCCCTAGAATCAGTCTTTCTTGAAGGACCACTGGTTCTTTTTCATGGATAATGGAATTTAGAAACCAAGATCTGGGTACTGGGGGTGCTCATTGTTACTTTGTATTGTTGTTTCTAGGCTCTCTCGGCTAATGGAGCTGGGAAATGTGTGTGTGTTCATGATATACACACAGAAAACAGCCTCTTTTAACATCTCAGAATATTTCAGTTTTTATGAGTTTCCTTTCTTCCAGTATGTTATTATTTATATGATTGAAATTATATTCTATAAATATTTTATATATATTCATGTCATTAAAATAATTCAGAAATTTTAAATGACTGTAATATTTTTATAATGTTACTTATTTAGCCATTGGCTGATTGTTGGACATTCAAATTGCTATTAATTGTCACTGTTGTTAATGCTGTGGTGGGCATTTTTAAACATAAATATTTAACAACAGAAATTACTGGTTATAATGTAGGCACAGGTGGTTTTTACCAGCTTTATCCCTCGAACTTACGTAGAACCTTTTTATTTGAGAGTATTTATAATAGTATGCTACCAAACCCCATCAGATTCACCCCTGCCCCCCAACCCACCTGGAAAGTGGATCTGTAGTTTTAGGTGAACACTATTATTATTTTTCTTTTCTCAGTGCTTTTAAGTATAAAACATCTTATGGATGATTCTGAGTACATTTATATCTGTCTTTGTGACCTCATCTGCTTTCCTGTGCTTCGCAAGTGAATGCCTAGGTATGGCTGTGTTTTTTTTTTTTTTTTTTTTTTTTTTGAGACAAAGTCTCACTGTGTTGTCCGGGCTAGAGTGCCATGGCGTCAGCCTAGCTCACAGCAACCTCAAACTCCTGGGCTCAAGCGATCCTCCTGCCTCAGCCTCCCGAGTAGCTGGGACTACAGGCATGCGCCACCATGCCCAGCTAGGTTTTTTTTTTTCTATATATTTTTAGCTGTCCAATTAATTTCTTTCTATTTTTGGTAGAGACGGGGTCTCGCTCTTGCTCAGGCTGGTTTCGAACTCCTGAGCTCAAACAATCCACCCGCCTCGGCCTCCCAGAGAGCTAGGATTACAGGCGTGAGCCACCGCGCCCGGCCCTGGCTGTGTTTTAATTCATTTCTAAATCTAGTCTGTTTAGAAATTGCAGAGTAAAATGAGTGCATCTTAGATATCCTGTCAGGATGATGTGAAAAAATTATATCAATAAGAAAGGAAAACTAGATGTCTGAAATTAAACCAAGCCCTTTAAGGTTATGTTATTGTCATCCCAGGCATCAAATGAAACCTGGTTTAAATATTAATGGTATCTTTTGAATACAGTACTACTAAATCATTTAGAAATCACCTTTCCTTCTTTGTTGGGATTTTTCTTGTGTCACTTAATACCTCAGGGGCACTTAGTTTTTCCAGAATCTTATATATATTCACTCATAATTTCTGAGGGTCTGGTATATGCTAGACATAAAAATTATTTGAAAATGACTGCGTTAGTATTAATTTGGGTTTGATCTTCAAGAAACGTAAAACCTGACTACAGAGACATAAGCAAGTGGAAGTTTATTTTTTCTGACAGGACATTCTAGGGGTGGTGAGCGTTCTTTCGCAGTGGTTTTCACTTCTCAGTGATGTTAGGACCAACATCTCTTGGTCTTTCCCCTGTGGTCCCAAGATGGCTGCTGAAGGTTAAGCCATCAAACATATATTCAAGGCAGAGGAAGAGAATTTGGGTTTTTTTAAATCAGAAAAGTAAAAGCATCCCCAGAATCCCCTTCAGCAAACTTTTTCTTATATTTTATTGGCCATAACTGTGTTACATTACCACCTCAGGTAGAGCAGGCCAAGGGAAAAGAGGTCGGGGATGTGTTTGTTGAGTCACAATCCATGTGGCATTTATGGGAAAAAAGGCTATCCTCTGTGGACTGATTGCTAATGATTAGCATTGTTCTCCAGCTGGTTTAGCCACTTAACAGGGAATTTAATAATAGTTTTGTAGCTGGAGAACTGAGCATTTGTTTTCACCAGAGTTACAATCTAGTCCTATTGTGTTTCTTAAATAATGAGAGGCACACATCTGTATTACTGCTCTTGCTTTAGAATTTGAATGGCCAGATTAACTATGGGGACAATAACTGGGGATTAGCTCTCTCTCCTAGTAGTATCAAAACTTCCAAGGCCAGTAGGTATTGTTACTTTGTCTTAAGTAAGAAGGAGGCAGTAGTAGTTTGTCCTTTGTTTTTCTTTAGTGGAAAAATGAAAGTGGAAGCAATCTAGTACTGTGGAAATAATCTAGTACCATTCTATTCTGTGCCCCTTTCGTGTACCACAGATGGAAGCTTTCATAATTGTAAGAATATCAATATTACTGCATACTACTTTGTCTGAAGTGATTAGTTTTGGTTTTGCTAAGTTATAGATATATAATTCTTGGTGTACATGTTTGAATAGAGTTTGTTTGTTTTTTGTTTTTTTAATGATCTTCAGGTAGAGAAGTGCTTTATAAGCATGACAACAGAGCCAGAAACCATAAGGGAAAGTATTAATAGACCTGACTACATAAAAGTCACATTGAAAAAGGAATCAGAAGGTAATAGGTAAAGATAAACTGTAACAAAAAATTTTACTAGATGAGTATTTCCCTACTATGTAAAGAGTTTTTACAAACCTCTAAGAATATTTCAGTAAGAATGATGGGCAAAGCGTGTCAACAAGCAGACTTAAAAACCATAAAAGAAAAATCTCAAATCCAGAAAATATAAAGACATTCAACCTCATTAATCAAAGAAATGCAAATTAAAATGAGATTTCAGCAAGGAGTGTTGGCTCACACCTATATCCCAGCACTGTGGGAGGCTGAAGCAGGAGGATCACTTGAGGCCAGGGGTTCGAGATCAGCCCGAGCAACATAGCAAGACCCCCATTTCTACAAAATTTTTAAAAATTAGCTGGGCGTGGTGGTGCCTGCCTGTAGTCTTAGCTACCTGTGGGATGCTGAGGCAGGAGGATCACTTGAGCCCAAGAGTTCAAGGTTGCAGTGAGCTGTGATCTTGCCACTGCACTGCAACCTGGGTGATAGAGGAAAACCCTATCTGTAAAAATAAAAGATTTCATTTTTTCCTTATTCAGTTGGAAAACATTAAAAGGATTGGTAACCTCCAGTGTTGATGGTGTAAGGAAACAAGCACTTTTCATATGGTGTGTGGGAATGTAATTGGCAAAATATTTTTGGAGGGCTGTTTGGTAATGTGTTTCCAAATTTTAAATGTATATGGATCTGGTAACCCTGAAAAATCTGCTAGGAATTGACCTAAGGAAATAGCTTGTTGCCAAATGTATTTGTATCAAGGATCTTTATTGCAACATTGTTTATAATGGAGAAAAATAAGAAACCAATGACCATCAGTAGGGAATTAGTAATAGTTAAATAAATCACAATAGAATCATTCAGTGAAATTATAAGCAGCTGTTAAAGGATGGAGTAGAGCTGTATATATTAACATAATGTTAAGTGGAAAAAGTAAGCTTCAAAATCCTAACTCTGTTGATAATTCCATTTTTGAGTAAATATATATATGATACAAATAAAAAGGGGTACCTTTTAAAAAAATACTATACTGTCATGGAAAAAGCTCCAGGTTATTTTGTTACCTGAAAAAAGAAACAGGTTTGTAATATCCATTTTTTAAAAATAAAAAACAGATTGTGTGTGTGTGTGTGTGTGTGTGTGTGTGTTACATTATAGTGCTTAGGAAAATGTCTGGAAAGTCCATATATCATAATATTAAGAATATTTGCTTGCGAGGAAGGGATTGGGATGATGAAGGGAGTGAAGGGAGACTTTCAGTTTTATTTTTTATGCTTCTGTTTGGCTCTAATCTTTTGCCATGAGGATGCATTCATATTAGTTGTCATTAAAAAATGAGCTCTGGAACAATGTACACCAAACTTCATGTTTATTGTTGGGTGGGGTGAAGTAGAAGACACATTTTACTTTCCATTGAATGTATTTCTGCAGTGTTTGAATTTTTTTTTTTTTTACAGTAAGCTTATATTGCTTTATATCAACAGAAAAAGAGATATTTTCATTTTGAACATTACATATATAAAATAGAGACAGTGGGAAGGTCCTGATTATTTCTTGATTGAAGTATATAAATGAAACATCTTCTCCCTCGTAGTTTCTATCCTAAACTGGCTTTTTAATGCCTGGCCAGCTTCTTTT